TTACAGGACAAGGAGATATTAAAAATGTAGTAAAAAGAGGGGGTTACCATGCTTGTTTTCACGCCACAATACTGACAAATGCGGTTATTCAGGTGACTTTTGGCAATCTCCGTTTGTAACAAATAAGCTCGATTATTTTTCAATACAGCGTGTTATATCACACAGAGTTTAACTTTCTTCGGTTGTTTATTCATCTACGTCCCAGAAAAAATGTCCTCAAATACCCTGCATTTTTTTATCCTTTAAGGAAACATAATTTGAACATGTGCTGATGGGCCCGTAATGTCTCCATCTGTAGTTTTTATTTCATTTGCCAAAAAGGTAGCCATAGATTTCTGCTAATTTTTTTCTCAGTTATTGAGGATATTGTTCTCATTGAAATTATGAAGTAGAAAGTGGGGGTCACCGTACTCGTTTAAGAGAAAATGAGCATTTATTTTGCTATCGAGCTTAGTTTGAGGGAAATCTCTTACGTTTTGTGGCGCGCGCTAATGACCCGAAAATCGTGCGCAGTTGGGATACACAATGCAATACTAAGGAATCACCTTACACTAATGACGCAAAAATCGTCCGCAGTTTGGGATACGCAATGCCATACTAAGGAATCACCTTAAAGCCATAAGGGGTATAAGGGGTATAAGGATATAAGGGTTTAAGGGTATAAGAGTATAAGAAGAGAAACTTAGTTGTAATTATTGCACGGCTTTTGGGAAGAACAAAACTGCAATGTTTTGTAATAATATATTTTTTTTATCAAAGTCACCGTGGGGGTATTGGGGTATAAGAGGTATAAAGGGGGCGTAAGGGTAAAGGGGTATAAGGTTGTAAGGGTATAAGATTTATAGAGTGTGTCCATGTGACGTCATCAAATTCTCAAGTACAAAACTAGAGAGCCCCTAAAGGTTTTATCCTCATCAGGCATAAGAGGTACTAAATTTATATCTGTTTACAACTTCCCTGCTCAATAGCGTCCTTCGTTTGGAAACCAGCGCATTTTGAATTTTGGAGTTGTTCCGGAGCGTGGCATGAAGCTAAGATCGCATTTGTGGAAAGATATACGCTTATCTCGTGATTTTTAGCCATTTTAGGAGTTGAAGTATTAGGAAAAGTGCTTTTGCAAATGTTTTTTTTTGTTCGGTTCAAATAATCAGTTGTCTGGATAGCCAAAGTAAGTTCCAGATGTTTACACTATTTTCCGGCCGCCATATTGGAGGACTAAGGAGGTACTAGGCTCTATAATTTTGCGTGGAACATTTTGACAAATATCTCAACTTTGGGACAATGCACACACCTTAAACTTGGAGAACTGTTGTCTTTATTTATCGTCTATAATATCACAATTTCTTGAATTTATCCACTGAATGGTTTTTGATTTTATTTTCTATTGCGTGACAATGCACACGCTCTAGAAGGGTATAAGGGGTACATGTATAAGGGGTATAACACCACCAGAATAAAGTGGTGGTAATAACGAGGTGGTCGCCACAATAACGGGTTCCACTGTAATACGAAAGGATGTTTATAGCCCATATCAGTTTTTAATAAAAACATGTCCCTTTGGGTTACATTTAGAGTATATGTTGTACACTGTACATGTACAGTGTACTTGTCTAACAGAAAACCACTTAAATAGTTGGCTCAGGACTTCGCCTCTCAACATCAACTATAAGCTGTTACTAATTTGAGCTTTCAGCTTTTGTAAAGTACTGAGTACACAGGTTACAAATAACTGATTACCAAGCAAATGAGAGTGGTCTAACAGATACATGGGTGATAAGTTGTCCTAACCTGTACAAGTATAGTTCTTTTTTGGCCTGCATGCTTATCTTACTTTTTTATCTTATCTTATTCCGATGTTTCTTTCTTTCTCTACGTTCCCTTTTCTGTGGACAAAGGAAATACATATAGGAGATGTCTACATGCAGGCTTTTCTCTTTCTTTTAAGGTATCAGATGACCGTTTGAATGGCTCAGTGCAATTTGATTTGTTCAAAAACATTGTGGAAGTTTTAATTCAAACAGAAGTGCCTGGGTAAGAGTTTTGTGCAATATAGANGTCTATAATATCACAATTTCTTGAATTTATCCACTGAATGGTTTTTGATTTTATTTTCTATTGCGTGACAATGCACACACTTTAGAAGGGTATAAGGGGTATAATGGGTATAACACTACCAGAATAAAGTGGTGGTAATAACGAGGTGGTCGCCACAATAACGGGTTCCACTGTGATACGAAAGGATGTTTATAGCCCATATTAGTGTTTAATAAAAACATGTCCCTTTGGGTTACATTTAGAGTATGTGTTGTACACTGTACGTGTACAGTGTACTTGTCTAACAGAAAACCACTTAAATAGTTGGCTCAGGACTTCGCCTCTCATCATCAACTATAAGCTGTTACTACTTTGAGCTTTCAGAGTAGTTGTAAAGTACTGAGTACACAGGTTACGAATAACTGATTACCAAGCAAATGAGAGTGGTCTAACAGATACATGGGTGATAAGTTATCCTAACTTGTACAAGTGTAGTTCTTTTTTGGCCTGCATGCTAATGTTTCTTTCTTTCTCTACGTTCCCTTTTCTGTGGACAAAGGAAATACATGTAG